GGAGCAAACGGCTCCTGAAAGAAACAAACGGCGAAGGAGGAGCAGGACTGGAGGAAGGACGGCGTGAGCTGGTGATGGGTTTGGGTTGGAGTTCCCAGTAAAGAGAACGGACCTGAATCCGTCCAGGAAAACTAAAATATCTGCTTTGGTTTGAGCTCCTAAAGCAGATGGAAAACTGTATTATTCATCAACAGTTCTCAGCGTTAATACAGAGCCGGATTTAGTGAATGTAGCTGATTTACTGAAGAGCGCAGTAATTCATTACATGTGCAATTTAAAATGCCATTTCCAAACAGCAGAGACTCTGATTTTAGTCACAATACATTTAATAACTAAATTTCTCCCTCCAGCCCTTTAGGTAAGGCAAGGCAAGGCAAATTTATTTGTATAGCACAATTCAGTACAAAGACAATGCAAAGTGCTTTACATGATTAAAATACAGGAAGATAAAACAGAATCAAAGCAAGTAGGAAAAAATAAAAAATAAATGAAATTAAATAAAAAATGCAGAAACAAAAAAAAAGAATATTAAAAACAGTTGGATTAAAGAAAACATGTTTTAGTTGAACTGTTTAACTAGAACAATGGAAGGCAATCCTAAACAAATGTGTTTTTAGTCTTGATTTAAAGGAACTCAGGCTTTCCGCACTTTTACAGTTTTCTGGAAGTTTGTTCCAGATAAGTGGAGCATAGGAACTAAATGCTGCTTCTCCATGTTTAGTTCTGGTTCTAGGTATGCAGAGCAGGCTGGAGCCAGAAGACCTGAGTGGTCTGGAGGGTTGATACACTGATAGCAAGTCTGTGATGTATTTAGGTGCTAAGCCATTCAGAGATTTATAGACTAACAGAAGGATTTTAAAGTCTATTCTCTGAGATACAGGGAGCCAGTGGAAGGACTTTAGAACTGGGGTGATGTGCTCTACTTTCTTAGTCTTAGTGAGGACACGGGCAGCAGCGTTCTGGATCAGCTGCAGCTGTCTGATCCACTTTTTAGGCAGACCTGTGAAAACACCGTTGCAGTAATCAATTCGACTAAAAATAAACGCATGGATTAGTTTTTCCAGATCATGCTGAGACATTAGTCCTTTAATCCTGGAAATGTTCTTCAGGTGATAGAAAGCCCACCTTGTAATTGTCTTTAAATGCTTTTGGAGGTTCAAGTCTGAATCCAGTACTACACCTAGATTTCAGGTCTGATCAGTGGTTACTAGCTGAAGCGACTGAAGCTGTGTGCTAACTTTAGATCTCTCCTCTATTGGTCCAAAGATTATTACTTCAGTTTTGTTTTTATTCAGTTGAAGAACATTATGGCACATCCAGGCATTGATTTCTTCTAAGCATTTCCTCAGTGCTTGAATTGGTTCATAGTCACCTGGTGACATGGTGATGTAAAGCTGTGTGTCGTCTGCATAGTTATGGTAGCTGATGTTGTTGTGTTTTATTAACTGAGCCAGAGGGAGCATGTAGATATTGAATAGGAGGGGACCCAGAATGGACCCTTGGGGAACCCCACATGTGATTTTTGTCATCTCTGATGTAAAGTTGCCTACTGACACAAAAAAGTCCCTGTCCTTTAAGTAGGATTTAAACCAGTTGAGAGCTGTACCAGAGAGGCCGACCCAGTTTTCCAGGCGCTCTAACAGGATGGAGTGATCGACAGAATCAGATGCTGCACTGAGGTCCAATAGAACCAGCACTGTGGTTTTTCCACAGTCTGTATTTATACGGATGTCATTAAACACCTTGATAAGGGCGGTCTCTGTACTGTGGTGAGCACGGAAACCTGACTGGAACACGTCAAAGCGGCTGGTCATATCTAAGAAAGTGTTTAACTGTTGCTTTGTCAATAATCTTACTGATAAAGGGGAGGTTTGATATGGGCCTGTAGTTCTGCAGCAGTAGTTTGTCTAAACTGTTCTTTCTCAGCAGTGGTTTGATATTTGCTGTTTTTAGGGACTTCGGGAAAACACCTGACAGAAGGGACGTGTTTATTATCTGAGTCAAATCAGACGAGGTGGCGCTGATGCGATTAAAGTGGGCGTACGTTTCTCTGTTACTGTGTAAATGGGTTTGGCTGGAATTTAAGGACAGATTCTAATATATCTGCAGGGTGGGGACTATAAATCCGATAGGATTTAAATTTTTTATTGCTGTTTTGCACACTTTGCTTAACTAAGTATTTTTTGTTGTTGCAGATATATTTTTATAAATACATTGTTTAGATTTACTTTTATCTTTCTATTCCTAGAATAGAATAGAATAGACTTTATTGTCCCTCAATGTGGAAATTCTGATATTTACAGCAGCAGAAAGATTATTGAAAATGGTCACACAAATGTGGACCTTAGAAATATTTATAAGAATAACATAATAGTGAAGAGTTAAAATATAAACAATACAATTCTATAAAATTGAAATTTTTCCAGTAATTTGAAAATAGCAGCAACATCAGAGATGTGCAGAATGACAGCAGCAGGTTATTTAACTGACTAAGGTTAAGATCATTACATTTGATTTTATCTGTTCCTGCTCCCGGTGGTTGGAACCTTTATTCCACTCTGGAATAAATCAGTGAAATCTTGGAAGGCCCATGAATTCAAATTCAGCCCTAGATCTATGATTACAGTAGAAGAAAGAACTTTTTGGTGCAGATGTTCCAGTAAATTCCTGCAGCTCTGGATTGTGGACCAGCAGCCTTTCAAGGCCACGAGAAACTGAAACCCTGGAGTAAAACTTTGACCTGATTCTGCTTGGTGCAAAGAAAAATCACAATAAAATCACAATATTGGTTGAAAATGATCACAATTTAGATTTAGTGGTTCAGCGCTGATTTATAGTGTGACGTTGCTCTTTAGCTTTTCCTCTGTACTGCCTTTGCTCATGTCTAAAGCCGTATATTTAAACCACATCCCTGGGATTCATTGATTTATTATTCAAGTTTTTTTCTGCCATCATATGGTAAATGTGCAGCTTTATGTGGATTGGGTCACATGTTGGAGGATCCAGTCTGATCCAGTCTGATCCAGTTTATCTCCGCGGGGTTCAGGCTCGGCTAAACGTCCTTCCTTCATTCCTTTTTTAGATTGGGAGGATCCATTAATATGAAAAACATCAGCTTGATGCGGCCGCGGTGCCGCTCAGATCCCTGGGACTGAGCGGCTGTTCAGGAATCCCCCCCCTGGACCTGTGGCCACCCCCCGCCCCGCCTTCAAGTTTCAAAGAAAAGCAGGTTGTGAAGCTAGAAGCTGATTGGCCACCTGCTCTGGTTCAGGTGATGGGCGGGTCGATGCTAAGCTGATTCTGGCTCCAGTGTTAACATCTCCATCCAGGCTGAGTGACTTTAGGAAGAGGAGCTAAAGTCTGTGAGTTTTCCTCAGACTGTGACCCCCCCCCCTCCCTTGGCAAGTCTTCAAGCTAATCACATTACTTGCAGGAAGAAGCCTTTCAGATAAATGGCTTGTTATTGCTCCCAGTGAGAGCTCTCCAAAGCCAGGATGCTCTGTGAATGGCCAAACAGCAGACATGGCTCCATGATGGAGGGCTTTAGAGAAAGGGGGAGGGAACAGGTGGGGGGGGGGGGGCACGCAGTCGCTCACACGGTGAGTCACGTTTGACTCACTGCTTACAAACTTGGACGAGACATTTTGTTTGTGCAACAGGAGCACCTTTGCTGCATGTTATCACTATTGGAGGCAGCGTTAGAGTTTTCTTCCCAAACTGATTAACCTTTAGTGTCAGTTTGCCGAGTCGGGAGGTTTTTGTTCACACTCACTACAACTGTGATGAACTTTTTCACAAATGTTAGTGACATTCTTTTAGATAAACTCACGCATCCAGCAGCAGTTCTAAGGTGGTTTCCTTTGTTTCCTCCATCGGTGCTTTTTATATTTGCTCGCTTTATTCCTACCTGATAATAAAACGTGTTTAATGATCTGAAACGTTTAAAAGGTGTTAAAGGTGCAGTAGGAGATCTTGGAAAAACGGTTCCTGTTAGCTATATTTTTGAACATAAACAACCATGCCTCTCCTGTCAGACACGCCTTCTAAACACGTGAACCTGATGCCGTCTGGCGAGGTGTTCACATGTTTCCGAGATCGAGAACGAGACCGAGTGCTCGTGACACGAGCTAACAGCATAACAGTGGCTAGCTTCCCATTATCAGCATCTGCTTTGTAAGCTATTGCCAGACTGAATCATTGTTTCTTATGGCAGAAAGTTTCTAAAGGATAAGAACTAATGCCATCAGAGACTGGGCCGCATTCAATTCAATTCAGTTTATTTATATAGCGCCAAATTCACAACACATGTCATCTCAAGGCACTTTACAGTTCAACCAGATCATACAGTCATTCAGACCACAGGGATGGAAATATTTGAACAAGTCGAAGGCGGTTTGATAGCGATGTTGCGATATTACAGCCAGAGCAGCAACGCTTGTGGTTGCTAACCAAAGCTCGAGCATAAACAGCCCTTGCTTTGTAGGTATTGAGCAGGGTAGTTGCTGGTTGATCGCGTTGTCATAACTAACAAAAAACACAATTAGCTCCGTATAGAGCTACTAGAGAGTAACGCGCAGACCGACCATGGCTGTGAACTAGGTAACGTGACTGAGTTCACGTGACGTCATCGGTCCTGGTGCCTACATTAGCATTGGGGGCGATTCGTTCATGTGTCAGGGTACGCGTACAGGGGGGAGGGGCAAGCAGACGACCCTGATTTACGTGTCAGGAACCAATAGCGGACCACTGACCGTGTTTTGTGATTGGAGGACATTTTTATTTCAGTCTCACTTCCAGACCCTCAGTTTCACTGCTTATAAGCGGCTGTGAGGAGGTTTTTATAGCCACATGATAAAAAATGCATCAGAAAAGATCTGCTGCACCTTTAGGCTAAAAGGGGAAAGAAGCTCTCAGAGCCAGTTGGAGCGTTTGCTGTAAAGAAGGACGTCAGTGGATTGATCTCTTCCTTCCATTATTAACGCCTCTGCTTTTATTTGCAGAACTACAAGGCGACTCTGCAGAGCCAGGTGCTGGAGGCGGCTGGGAGGCAGAGCGCTGGCGTTAAGTTTGGGGCCGACCTGCCTGAAGAGAAGCTCAGCCAGTTCCAGAACGAACAGATCGGCCAGCTGTACGAGCTCATGCTGGAGTCCACCAAACCCAACAAACAGTTTGACATCAGCGAGGACAGCAGGTGAAGGAGAGGACGCCGCGGGACGGACAGGACGTGCTGCCTTTGGGTGCCTGGTATGAAGGCACAGCCTTTTAAGGGCTGTTGATTGTACTGATGCGCCATATAAGGGTTTCCTCTCTGCCCCGCCCACTTCATGTGTCAATAAAAAGGTTCCTCATGCTGCTTCACGGAGCGTTATGATCATTTATTGCTTTTTATGTCGACTTCTGTCCTTGCAGGTTAACCCAGAACGCCTCCTTTAATAGAACCTTTAAAACCCGTCCTAACAGGGGGGTTGCTGTAGACCAGGGGGGTTGCTGTAGACCAGGGGGGTTGCTGTAGACCAGGGGGGTTGCTGTAGACCAGGGGGGTTGCTGTAGACCAGGGGGATTGCTGTAGACCAGGGGTCTGGAGCTGCCTGTAGCTCTTTAGCGCCCCCTTTGCAACTCCCTGGAGCTTTCTCAAAAATGTATGAAATTTACGTTTTTTTGGTTTATTTTAATATGGTGTGCATTAAACATTTTTATAATAAATAAATAAACAACAAATGTAAACATTTCTTTCCACTGTAATGTGCATCACAGCCATAGAGATCAGTGGCCGCAGCCTGCAGCAGGTTTCAGCGCGGCGCCAGGCAGGTGGATGCTCTTAACAAAGCGGCGGCTGCATCTTAGCCCGTGGATCCCAAAGGGAAAAAGGAAGATAGCTGATGAGGATTCAAAGAACGGAGCGAATCATTTGCTTTCATTACCAATGAGGAAGGACTGCCTGCATGTTTGCTTTGGAAGGAGAAGTTATCAAATAATAAATGAGTGATTAGGAAAGGCATTTCCAGGGAAATCTGCAGCCGACCTCCAAGCTGGGAGGGAGAGAAAAAGAGTGATTGAAGAACTTCTGGATTAATTAGAGGAGAGCAAAGATAGATTTAAGAAGTAGATTGCATCTCCAAACTACTGCTGCTAGTTTGGTTGAAGCATAGAAAAAGGTTCATAGATCCAACAGGTAGCCCTCTGATGCAGGGATGGGAACTTTCTGCCATCTTTTCCCCAATTCCTCAAAATAAAAATAAGACCAAGGAACGCTGGTTATGGAGGATTTCTGGGTTAGTAAGTTTTGTAATCCATTACAGGGACATGAAGCCTTTCATGCCATGCAGAAAGTTTTAAACATGGAGGATCTGAAACTTTAATGCAGCTCTCATCCAGAGAAAGAAGACAATCAGCAGACATCTCTCTGATTACTGCTGAAGAATTGTGAGAAACGATGGTTAAGATTAGAGGCATCAAATAACTTCTGATGATGATTGTGGTTGGAAGTTAAGAGCTTCACATTCACTCCCACTGCTAACGGCTGACATCCAACACCTGATTAAAAACCATTAAGATTTAGGTATTTTATAACACATTTCTATTGACTTATTTAGCTCATTTTAAAATTAGCCTATTACATGAACCTTACATAATGCATATTTTTTTTTTTTTTTTGTATTTAGTATTGAAGTATTCTTTCCTAAAATGGATTCTAATGATTGTTATTATTTCAAATACTTCTCTGTTTAGCAGCGTTTCCAGTCCAGGTTGGCTGGTTGGTTGAATGGACAGGAATGCTAATAGCAAGGATGGCTAATGTTAGCATGCTTCCAGGAATGACTTTTAATGACGACCGCATGGGGGAAAAAAACACTTTCAGACTCCAGGCATCGTTTCAGGAAGCAGGTTTAACAAACTCAGATTCAGATCAACTCTAAATGGATCTACCCTAAAGTCAGGAAAAATAAATAAACTTTATTGATCCCAGAATGAGGAAATTCCCTCTCTGTCTTTAACCCCTCCCCTCGGGGAGCAGTGGGCTGCCATTGTGCAGCGCCCAGGGAGCAGTGTGGGGTTAAGGGTCTTGCTCAGGGACCCAGGAGGCCGTGGGGATTGAACCAGCTACTAGCAACCTTCTCAGAGCACAGCGCGCTGCTCTAACCACTAGACCAACACTCCTCCAATGGCTGCTATGAATCAGTTCAATCCATTCTAACTAGGTCCACTCAGAGTTAAACGTGTGCGCAACAAAGCCATTATCAGTGGAACACTGATTTGACTAGTCACCATGACAACAGGTAACAGGAAGTTCCTATTTCACTCCACTGAAAGATTTAATTAAGGAATTAAAAAAGAGAAATGTGTTAAAAAGGCAGAGAAACAGCTGCAAAGGAGAGGAAGATGGAGAAGGAGCAGATTGTTGCTCCAGTTAATGATGAAGTGGTCTATGGCAGGCCGTTTTTACATTTATTAAAAGCACTCTCCTCTCTGTTGTTCCATTCATCACCAAAATAAGATTATTCCTGATCAAAATCACACTCCTACACCGAACTGTAATCATTCATTTTCTAAATTTCATTTTTTTTTTTAGCTGGAACTGAATTTAAGAAAGTAAAAAGAAAACACAATTATACTATCAAGAATCAAGTTTTATATACCTGTACATGTTTACACATTTTAATTGGCCGTTCTGACATTTATCAGCTTGACTGAAAATGTATTTATGATATCTGAAATACATTTTTTCATAGGTAAGATAATACAATTGATGGCCAGTAATAATAGAAATATGGAGATATTAAATTCATTTCTAGACATCCACAATGTTTATTCTAGATGTGGATAATCTAATAAAAATTTGTTTGAAATGGTCATTTAGACAAAGAAAATATGTTATTTATTTATTTAGACATCAGGAATACATTTTCAGTCAAACTAGTACATATCAAAATGGCTTGCCATATATGTTGTTACTGCAATAATATTACGGGATTTTTTTTCTTGAATGTTAGTAGATCAATGTATCTATTTAGGTGAAATCTTCTGGCAACAGGTGAAGATGAAGAATAAAAACGTTCTAATCTATAGAACCTGTTCATCATCTCATGGGTTCCTCCTCATGCTGATTCAGTCTCTTTTACTCAGTAAATAATTAGTGTCTGTTTGCAGACGCTTGGGATGTCATCATCCCAATAAATGGTCGTTATTAGCAGTTATCAGTCCCTTACAATGGCTTCAGATTGTGCCAGTAGCCTCAGTAGGTTATTGTTGTCGAGTGAATCCTTATCCTAAACGTTACTAATTTAATGAATCTATTTATGTGTAATCTGAAAATAAATTCAGTAGTTCATGTACTGTAAAAGTGAATAAATAAAAATAAAATGATCTTCATCTCTCATATAAAAAAAAACGTAAAACCAGTAATCTCCTCTCCTGTCACTGAGTTGTAGAATCCTCTCCCTATAAATATTTAATTCTCTGTGAAAAAGTGCCGATCATTCTTTAATAAAACGGACATGAAATGTTTGTTTTTAAAAGCTAACGTGTCTAACGGACCTAGGGAATGATTTAATTTATGCACAAAACTAAGACTAAAATCGGACTAAATCAGGAAATAAAGCTGTGTGATTGGCTGTAAGCAGAGCGGAGACAGAGGACACTGCTGACCAGGTTAGCTCTGAGGAGGCTGTTACTATGGCAACAGAAGCATGATAAGGAAACTTCCTGTTTTCAGGTTTAGAAAAGTTTTTAGTAAACCTGCTTCATGAAACAAACTCCAGACGTTCAGGCAGGTTCTGACTGAATCCCAACAGTGAGCAACATGTTGAGGCGACAGAGTCTGATCTCCAGGTAAAGACGCCTTTAAACCCAGATCAGACCAACTAGGCTGGAGTCGATCTGTGCATGTCCTGTTATCCAGAGAGAACCAAGCTGCTGCACAGAAACTGGACTGAAATTCTCACCGATCATAAAGGATTGGTTTATCTGAAGCCTCTTTTTATAACACTGCAAACTGAAAGGCTGCAGATCCCGTTACTCTGCATGTGCCTCTATTTTAATAAAACCATCTGTGCATCAGTTTACATTACGCCAAGCTAAATGGTAGGAGGGGAGGGAGTGCAGGGAAGTCTCACCCAATGCAGCAGCTTTCATGTTACTGGAAAACCTGACTGCGACGAACCGGTTCAGTCCGGTTCCATGTGAATTCAGAAAGGAGGGATTCTTTCTTTTTACGCAGAAATAAACAAAATCCCACTTTTCTTTGGCTTCATGTAGACACTAAAACTCCAGATTTTTATCTCCTGCTTTCACTTTAAAATCACTGAATAAAGGCTCTATATGTTTTAAATGTGTAATCCCTTTCCAGCCTTGTGGAGGTGGACCATTTAGTCTCTGTTGTCTTTGGACCCGACCAGGTTAGTAGTTGAACTCTTCCTAATTGAGTGGGGAGGACAGGTGTCTTTATGCAGCTAACCACCTCAAACAGGTGCATCTAATTTAGGAGAATAAATGAAGGCAGACTAACAGGTCTCTAAGGCTAAGAGTTCTATAGATAGACAGCTGCTCAAATACATATATATGACATGTATTGTGATTTCTGGATTTTTGCTTTTAGATCATGTCTCTGACAGTGGACATGCACCTACGATGATAATTTCAGACCATCCATGATTTCTAAGAGGGAGAACTTGCAAAACAGCAGGAAGTTCAAATACTTATTTTCCTCAATGTAAATGTTTATACATAAAAGTTAGTACATACTGAATGTGGGATGATGTTTCCCCTGCAGTTTGCACTAAAGCAGGACTGATTAGGCTGCTGGAGGACATAGGGACCCCTTTTTCATCATTCTGTTAGTTCAATCTCTAACGTTCTGCTCTCTCTGCTTTTCCTCATAGTAGCTTCATCTGGTCTGTTCCTGTTTGGCTGTGACTCCATCCTTGAGAGAAATACCAGCTGTGCTGCTGCCATCAACACCTTTGTTTCTAGATGATGGAGCTTGGCCTGTTTTCCAGTGTAGTCCTGTTTCTCTGACTGTGACTAACTGGATGTGCTCTCTTCATCCTCTGACATGGGAGCTGGCTCGGAGCTCGTCTGCCTGGCTGTGTGTTTCCTGGACGGGGCCGCCTGTGGAGCTGGTTGACAGTTGCCTTTTGTATCTATGCTTCTTTTTCTATGTCTGCTTCTGTCTCCTTGAACCCCAGTGGGCCTCAGCAGATGGCCGCTCACACTGAGCCTGGTTCTGCTGGAGGTTTCTTCCTGTTCAAAGGGAGTTTTTCCTCTCCACTGTCGCTACCAGCATGCTTAGTGTGAGGGATTGCTGAAGAGTCAATGAGTCGATGCAATCAGCTGGTTTCCTTAGATAGAAAACTTCAATC